GAACCGAATAAATAGTTTATTATTCATGGATAGCTATGATACTCTGGGGAACTAATTTGAATCTTTAGTTTGCGGATTAATCCATGTAGGAGTAACAATGGTATTAAGACAACGTTTACCCATAAAACCCAGAAAATCTGAATACATTTTGCATTTCGTTCCATAATTCATAAAGTTGAAAAAACGTATTTGGCGTGTAGGAAGAATTTTGAAAAATAAATGCAGCATTTCACAATAAAGAGTTTCTGGAAATCATTATGATGATGTTTAGCGCCAAACATCAGAGAGTCTGAATACATTTTCCCGTATGTTGAACGTTGAAAAAACTTCTTTGAAAAACTAGGGAAAGTTTGAAAAATAAAAGCTACAAATCGTAATAGAGTATTCGTGCAAACTGAGATCAATTCTATTTTCGCTTTCAATCACAAACAACTGGTGGCGACCTGCAGATTCTACCAATAAAAACTAATTTTATTGTTTTGCTTCAATCCCGTCTCTCAGCCACTTTATCTGCTTCAGCAACTCAGTGAAAAAGAATTTTTCTAAATCTCACGGAAACTCCTCAAGCTGAAAGACGTCCCATATCCAAACATTTTCATGCTCTGAATTCAGACGAGGACGCAGCAGATCAATTACTTATATATTTTTGACGTATTGATCTTTAATTTTGCTTCTTACACTCGATTGCGTCATGTTGTTTGTCGATTGCGTTCTATTACAAAACGCACTTTGAAAATTGTTTTGATGAAATATGAAACAAAAAATGACTAAATCTAAGAGTATTAAAAATTTTAAATAATTTATAATCAGTTAAACCATAGAACATATTAATAGCTCAAATTCTAAAAAATATATTAAACCTTTTGAGAATTCAGAAGCAGAAATACGGCAATCACTGCATTGTTTATGCGCACTCCAACGCTTTCCAATGTTCTTTTGTCCTCTTCTTCTATTCCGTACTCTAAACATATGCTAAAATAATTTATATTTAATACTTGCAACTAAACCCTGCTTCTTGAAAGGTGAAAAATCTAGGCCAACAATAGCGAGTTAATTAACAAACGYAACTGCACCTCATATAAATTTTTCTACATTTTTTTATTTTACTGAAAAATGTATTTGTTGTTTAAACATAAAACATTTTTCRTTTTACTTTATAAAAATTTCAATGTATATAGGGATGTAACTGTGTTGGGTCAGTTTAATCACAGCAACAGCGCAAAACTGTGTTAAAGTTRAAAAGRATTTCAATGCTGCACAATCAGTTGAGTAAAATGCGATTTTGTGCAAATAGAAGAGATCCTTTGAAATCCTTGCGTTGATTTCTGCATACAGAAGTTGCACGAAACATAATTAATTTGTAATTAAAGCTATTCCGAGTAATTATTTCCTMCTACTCGCAATTGGAAACGAWTGTAGTACAAGAAGTTGACAGTCAATAAAAGCAGATTTAGCTCGAATTTAGATTCTATATAAATAGGAACTATTTATTTTTTGATAGCATCAGGATTGGACTAATGTTTCAAAAATGCAGTTTGCTTCTAAACATATTTTGTGGAATTGTAAAAATAAAACTAGTCTTCTTCTAGCAAACCGATGAAAATTGAACTTTTTACACGAAAAACAACAATTTTATTCGATTAATGAAGGTATCAAATTACTATTCTGCCTGCCCAATCGTGTTAACTGCGATCAAAATAAATTGTAAAACTTATCACGACGGTAGCAAACTGAAATTTTCCGTCTTTCGATTGGGTTCACCTCAATTTATAAATACACAGAAAAATCACTAGGGGCAGAAACTAATATTGATGATCGCCCAAGATATTAAAATATCGATCCCGCCTTATTTAACTTTTAGAGATTACAAGACGGCAGCGGTTTTAAACATCAAATTTAATATTACTGCGTTCACAATCATTGCAAAAGAGACATTTGTACATCTATCAAAAACTGAATAAAATGTGAAAATAATTGCACAAATTGGTTAGGAATTTTAAGTTTTCCAAAATCCGAAACTTCACATCTTCTACAATTAGCTGTATTAAAAATCTCATCCAGATTAAATATTATTACTTAAAAGCTTCTAAAAATATTTTCCCGAAAATACGTGATTTGTGTATTTATTCACCTCTGCAATTTCGGCACCGTCCTTTTAAGTCTACGTCACAGGAAAACGGTTTGTGATTAGGCTGACGTCAGTCGACACAGATTGTATTCTTAAGCCCTTCCGCTCGCAATTTCCATTCAGTTGATTTTCTTAGTATAATTTTATTTGAATAGTCTAGTAATTGAAGAGAGAATTGCTAATGAAGAATTTGAAATAATTTTGCCACAATATTGCCCGGAATTTATTACCATACGTTTTTATTGCCAAGTTTTATTACATAATAATATATTTTCCGCACCAGATCAATCGGTTATATTAATAACAAATTTATAAAATTTTAAAAATTATCAAGCAATATTATATTGAGTTTAAATCTCTTGGAAAATCGACTCAGAAACCGCATGAAACTACTGCATAACAAATATGTTACGATTGGTTGTACAGCTCTGCTACACGATTTTGATTTTCATTCTTTTGAATTGTAGTGTCTTCTCTGATACTTTTTATGTTTGGTTTTTTCTAAAGTTAAAAAAATGTCTTTTTAATGCTTCACTCTATATGAATATATTTTATTAATTACGTAGTTTTTATTGTTGCAAAAATTTTATTGTTTGCGAAATTAGTTCTGGTACAGAAATTATTGGCGTCGATTTTACAGGGAGATTTTACACAAATAGATCAACAGCATAATTTAACAAAAAATGGCACGAACAACTTGATATAAATGTAATGTAATGTAATAAATGTAATTATTGATAAATCTACCTCAATGGACGAAAACTTTACCAATATTTAATCATTATTAATTTGAGATTTTTGTTCTAGCAAGCCATACCAACATAAAGCTGACTGCAGCTTAAAATTCCCTCATTGTTAATTAAACGCGTCTAACTCTCTGAAACTGTTAAATCTGGGAAATGTCGACTCTTTGAAGGCTTTCATGCGATTAACTCAGACCAAGAGCTAGATGTGATCAATTAGTTACAGATCTAGGACGTATTGATTTTTTTAAATTCTATTTCTATTTCTTCACTTTATTTTATTCCGAAATTCTTGCAGTTATTCTGTCTAGGCTTCTGAAGGAGTTTTTGAACTATTTCTCAACCACTTAAAAATTAAAGAAACAATTTAACATCGAAATTAGAAACAGTAATAAAGTAGTAGTATATTGAGTCAAGTTCAGTAAGGAATTGGTGGCAGGCTTTTGCAATGCGATTTTATTTCGATTCTTTTGCACTGTATTCTCTCTTGATACTTTTGTTACGCATCTAATGAATTGTTTGCTTTGTTTTGTTGATTTCGCTTTTAAGATTCGGCTGCAATATGGAGTGGATGTTTCCAGTGGTTTTATCAAAAGTTGAAAAAATAAAATCTCGGTTAGTCTAGTTTATGAAAACTGTTTTCATAAAAGCCCACGTAAAGCAAGCGCTACTGATTTTACCATCGATGCGCTAAAATAACAGTTGAAATTGGCATTTGAAAATCGCCTGAAAAAGTGTTTTGTAATTTGTTTAATTTGTGTAGCATGGAAACTTCACGCTTCTAGACTTATTTGCGTTCTTATTCACTTATCTTTATTATATTTGTCGTTTTTGTATGAAATTTGACAAAATTCATTTGAACAATTCCTACTCAGTTTCACTCATGTGTATTTTAAAATTGTTCATGTGATAAATAAAATATTATTTGCGTGTATCTTCCAAAGTGAATGGTAATCATTCTCAGAATTTCTTCTAAGTAAAGTTTCATTTATAAAACATTTCAAAAGTCATAAAACATAGACAAATTTCGAAATTTGACAAAAAAGCTAGAATTTTCCGTATAACCGCTGTTTTACAAATCCTTTTTCTAATGTAAAAATCTTGCTTCACTTTCATCAAGTAACAAGTTTTTTGCAATTTTTAGAAGTTATTATCTATTAAAGTTGATTACAGTGTAAAAGAACGATTTTAAAAGGATTGAAATTTTAAAATGTAACGAAAATTCAGCGAATACTAAGTGCATAATAAAAACAGCAAGAAAAAACATTTTGTATAAAATTTTGATTTTTCAAATCTTTGTTAATTTACCAAAGTTGTTTATTTATCCCAACGAAAAAATGTGCGCCATAATAAAACATTAAAGTTTCTTTAATTATTTGGGAATAAAAAACTGGTTTTATCATAGGAAAATAATCATCATGCTAAAAAAACTTCCGCGAAAAGTGTTAAAAACTGAAACATATAAAATTTAAAAAAATTTCTTAAAATAAACTGAAAGAATGCAGGACTTTTTCTTAATAAACCTGAAAAAACTTAAAAATCAAACATGATAGCATAAAGGAAAAAAAATTAGCGCTTCATTTCAATTTGCGACAAATGTAGTTTAAAAGTAATGCAAATAGAATAAAAAACAAAGCGAGACCAAAAATTGCAAATAGAGACATTGAATCTGTTTGGAAACCATAATAAATAGGCAAAAAATTAAAATATTTTCACATCTTTTAAAATCACGTTTATTTCACTCTTCGCTTATTTAAAGTTATAACTCCTAGCAACTTTTTGGCAAATTCACAAAATTCATTATAAATTAACAAAATCATTAAATAATTTGTGCGAATGAAAAATTGTGAATTCTTCTCCCGTATGGCAGCTAATGTTCAATTGTTTGCGCTATCAGTGCAGATATGGAAATTATTTGCGTGGGTGCTACATAGGAGGAAAATTCAAACAGCAATCTGTCCTACTTAACAATACCACATCTTATACCTATAACGACAGAAACCTAAAAGTACGTTAAGTTTACTTGAATGCGCTTATCTAAAAAATAATAATTTTGGCGGTATCAGTGCAACAACCCGCAGCCAGTCATATTATTCCTGATGGAAATTAATGGAAAAATAAAAACTTACCGTTGAGGATTCTCGACTCTCCCAAATGGATGCCATGCCAAAGAAAAACAATGACAAGGCTTATTATAAATGAAAACTTCATATTGGTTCGCACTTTTTTCAATCCATATGGTTTCAGATCTCTGCCATTTCCATCACTGATCAATAAGGTACGCGGCATGCCATTGGCCGATGCCAGTGACGTCACTGGGAAAAGCTCCGTTTTCCCGACTATCCTATGGAAGGATTTTCATTGACTAACTTGAAATGGAATATATAAACGCTAACGTTACTGCTGATAGGCCATGCGCTTTGGAATACGGGGGCATCAGAATTAGTGGATGAAATGAAGAGGTGGGATTCAAGATAAAAAATATGCATACTCGAATGGCCCGAAAAAATTGATTGAATTCGGTTTCGAAAGCGTTAGAGATCTTTCATCCTTTTACCCTTTGATTCACGACCTGTCCACCTTCTTTAGAATTGCCGCGTTGTAGAGTAGATGAACTCAATTATCAGTTTTTCCTCTTTTTATCTTGTTCTTTTTACGTATACTCTTGTCGATAACGGAACATAAATTATACTCAATTTCTTCCCAATTTGTGCCCTCACTGTGATAATCAGTTAGTTAATGTTGGCTTCACTTTTTACTTTGGTACTTTTTACGTTTAGGGCAACAATACTGGAAATGTACATTTGATATTAAAAACTAAATATATCTTCGTAAACCAGCTTAAGAAATATTTTTTACGCATTGATTATGCAGGGTGATTCAAAATTGGCGTCATTCCTCTGGAGGTGTTGCCTGGGGAGAAAAATAGAAAAAAATAATTAGTAAATATTAAAACCTGAGATATTTGCAAAAAACTAGATCAGAAGGTCGGCAACAATAGTTTTCAAGGTCATCTGCCTCATTAAAGTTACGTAAATACCTCTTGTTTCTTAATTATAACAAATTGTAGTAACCAGTGCTGTTAAAGGTTATGTATCAATGATTAATATCGATCAAGCAAAATATAATTAAGCTGTTAAATCACAGTAGATGTTCGAAGTTCTGTCCGTTTGACTCCAAATATGTTTGTGTCCCAATAACTTGATCGTGCATTCCTCGCAGCAGTCTAGTCTCACATTTTGAGCAGCCTCTCGTATTCGGCTAATTAACTCCTGCTCAATTTGTACCGGTGTTCGGAAGATCAGATATTTAATGGGTTCTAATGTTCTGTGTATCTTACATACATGGTAAGAATGTAGCCCTTCCTCCGCGTTCTCCTGGAAGGCTCTGCTGCAATAATCCTCTAGGTCTGGAACCCGAGAATCTCAAGATCATCTACTAACTGCGTCAATTCCTGGAACCAATCGTTCAGTGTCTCTAGCCCAGTTAGGGATTCCAATAGGCTACCAATCGAAGATGTCACCATTTGAAAATAATACTTAATAATAAAGTTGAAATTCGATCTTCAACTATTAATATCTTCTAAAAATTTTCGAAAAAAAATGTTTTTATATTTTTATAGTACTCTCTACGTGAGCGGTTATAAACCCTTAACAGTAATGACGCCAATTTTGAATGACCCTGTATACTTAAAGAACATGAATTTATTCGCTTTCTAATCTATTTTTTACTCAACGTTGATACAATTTTGTGTCATTTTCAGTAGAGATAAACTGGGATGCACCAAATTGGAATATTGAGTTCTTAAAATTTGGATTTATTTGCTTATATTAATAAATATAAAATAAAAATAAAAAAATAATTATAAAGAATAATTTTGACCCTTTTTTAAGTCTATCATTTCTGAACCATCTCTAATTATTTCATATTTATGTTTGTTGTCGTCATTGTTGGTTTTATTCATGTTTCGGTTGATTTTTAAAAGTTTGCATTTGTAGGCTTTTCTAACATATCGCCGGTTTTGCTAATGCCATCTTTACGTTTAATCGTTAAATTAAATTTCCTTGGCTAATTTTCTTAATGTTCACTTTAATATAAAATTCAAATTATAGAATAGTGACCGAATTAAATTAATTCCTCATTCAGTTTCATTTTGCATCTTAATAAGTAAATAACCCGTTCAATTGCCGTTCAATTCAACTATAAAATACTCAAAACAATGTAAATTAACAAAAATTGAAAATCAAGAACAACAAATATGTCCTTACAAATGGATTTATTGGAGTTGATTGTAAAAGCATGATTTTCAAGATTTCTGCTTACCCTATTAGTATTAACTTATTTCTCATTATTCCTGAAGTCATCTTTCTTTCTGTGTTTTTGGCTATATTTTTCATTATATTTTGAAGCTCTCTTATACTGTAAATAATTTTTGAAGGCAATCAATTCAAAAATTGTAAAACCTTAGTTACTTTATCAAGAGATAGACTTTCGAGGCCATTCCCTGGGACTACGCCCGAGGAATCGCACATCACAGTGTACGCGTTCAAGCAAACCACCTCTGAAGATGCAAGCGACTCGTGTTTGCGAAACGTCAGGAATAAATTTTATTGTACGGCGGCATAAAAACCCGAAAAACCCGCTAAGTTACTTTGTTTTGAAACTTTCAATTCCAACATTTCAGTTTTAAAACCATCGTCAGATAAAATTGTTCTTATGACTCATTTTACAAAGTTAACTACAAAATTATTAAACAAATAACTAACAGAAATATTCTGCATTTAATTAAATGTTGCCTTTTTACATTGAGGAAAATAAAAACTTTTACTTTGGATAAATGTTCGAAAAACGTTTAACTGCCACAAATTCAAACACTTTGCATATAACTTCCTCGTAACTCTAGGGAATTTTAGATAATTTATAAAAACCCATTTTTATATGCCTTATTACTACTTTCTTCAAAGATAATACAAAGCTGCTGTACGCTTCCTACAGTTTCTTATTGAAATAAACATTCGTGTACATATACAAAGTTAAAAATATAATTAAAAACATCTGCTAGAAGTTTTATTTCAGTTCATTGCAAATATAATTTTCTTAATGTTAAAATCAAATCAAATATTATCCAATTTTTTAAGAGATTTTCAAATACCACTTTCAGCTTATTTGACCGCATCAGTGATAAAATCAATTGCGTTTAGGTACACGTAGGATTCTATGCAAACAATTTTCATAAACTGCATCAACCGAAACTGCATTTGTGAATAGAAAAAGCCACTAAAAACACCCAACATTCACCGTATTGCAATTTAGATTTTCCACTAATTGGAGCCGATTTTATTTAATAACAACATCAACAAAGCTTCATTACAAAGTATGAGTAAATAATCGAAATTCAAAATTTTTTTTTAAATTCTTTTTTTAATTAAAATTTTTTATTTTGTTTTTAAATTCAAAACAAATTTAAAATACAATTTGTTTTATGATACTTTAGAGCATCAAACAATATACATCTGTATTGTCTTGTGTACATTTTTTTAATTGCCCTTGTAAAAGTATCACTGCTTTCGTATGCAGGAGGTTTGCGGTTAGCTGATAAATTATCGGACTTTTAAAAGTTGATTGCCGGTTGCTCGACTTACATTTAGAAGCGGTTTACTTTTTCACTTATCTTTAATGTTATTAAAGCTGATAAAAATAGAATAAAATTTTTGATCGACATGAACAGGCCAGATGTGCACGCAAATATAGATTTCTTAGTAGTCGTTCAGTTTTCATCACCAGCTACTGAACATGCATACGTCTTTAGAAATAATACCGAGAGGAACAATTTGTCTGCCCTCAAAAAATTCTTTTGTGGACATTGATTGAATTTGACCCTATCATTGTGAGCATCTTTTTAGCTGAAAGTAATGCTTCGTTTTGTGCGACCAAATCGAGCGAGAGTAAAATTCGCTTAGCTCGCAAAGCTTCGGTACGTGTTTCGTTTTGTTATGGTACGTTAAATAACGATAATTGTGCTGTTTTCCTAAGATGGTCTACTGATCCTGAGGATATTAAAAACTAATTTTTAGTGTCTATTTTGAACTTAACGTAATACTTTGTATTATTTTAATGCTGTACTGAATTTACTACTTTTACACTCATAACGGTGTATTCTAATTTTGTTTAGACTTTCAGAAAAAAGCATGACAAAATGTATTTTACTTTACAAAAGTGTATAGAAACATTTAATATCGTCAGCTTTAATTTACGATTAATATAAAACGTTACACGTTAATTATCAGGTTTCGGAAAACTCATTACGGAAACGTAAACAGTTTAGCAAAAACATATTTTTAACTAAAATGAAATATTTCTCTTCTGAAATCAAAATGTGTGAAGGAACTGTGGGTGATTTAACTACCTGATAATTCTTCAAAATGATAGGAAAGTGCGAAACAGATAGAAAACAAAGTATTAATAATAGTAATACCTTGTTTCCTTCAAATACTCTAATTGCACAGAAGCAGATAAAACAATAATATCCCAAATGTAAATTACAAATATATGCACTTGTACAGTACAGCAAAATAATGTTTTTTCAGAATAACGATAATTCGTTGAATTTTTTTCTCAAAAAATCTCAAAACTCAAAATTCTAAGGGGTAGATTAGTGTTAGAATTAGTATTTGGCGTCTGTTTCGAATTACATCCGTTCCAGCTATTTCAATTCTGAGCTAAAATACACATAAATGGAATATGAAAATCGACATATTTCCTTTCTACGATTTCTGTAAATGACGAATTTAATACAAATTATTGCTTTTTATGTTATGTTTATCTCCAAATATGTTTTATATTATTTTAGAAGCAGTAGATGAACTTACATACAAAAGTAGATATCCTAATAAAAGTTTGGGAGTCAAAATGCATTTTTCACAAATGGAAAAATTTCAGAATCTTTAAAAGCAAAGTTATTTTGCTTTACTGGAAAGTTTGAACGATTGAGCGACATTCTTTGCAAATTATAATAATCCCGTCAAAAATTCAATTTTTGAGTTCCCTTATAGACTTTTCTTCAGTTATATAATCCTATAACTTTTTATTTATCAAGTAAAATTAAGCAACGGGAATACATCCAATCCTGTAAGTAGCATTCGAAACGAACAAGGACATTTCTGATTCGCTTTTATTCCCGCACTGTGCTTTTAAACAATCACAGACGATAATTGAAAGTAAATTTAATTAATTAATTAAGGTTTCAAGGGAGAATTAAAACATGTTAACGATGAATATCGATAACAACTGAGTATTTCACTTCAAAAAACAAAGCAGTTACCTTTTAACAAAACTTTCAGGTGAGAAAAGTAACTTATGTTCCCTGGAG